AAGAAGGAGCCAAGGAGTAGCAGTAGAAAGAGTCAAGAGCTCAGATGAAGGGAGAAAAGTGTGCGTGTGCGGGGGGGGGGGGGGGAGAGGTTGGGCTGAAAGACAGAAGTAAGAAGAAGCCAAGGAGTAACAGTAATAATCTTCAAGAGCCCAGATGAAGGGAGAAATGTGTGTGTGTGTGTGTGTGTGTGTGTGTGTGTGTGTGTGTGTGTGTGTGTGTGTGTGAGTGTGTGTGTGGGGAGTTGGAGTGGTGGGGGTGGAGATGAAATCAGATGACAAAACATGGTTATAGAGCAGGAAAGGTGATGAAAGGAGAACATTTTATAATTTAGAGAGAAAAAGTTTTCTTCGCAGTCAGGTTTCGAACGCGGGACCTATTGAATGAGAGGCAAATTCACACTGTAACCTCCTTACCACGAGAGCTCCAAGTTAGGGGATGGCTTGCTTTGGAATGGCATGCCAAGAATATGATGGCACTCTTAATTTGGAATGCCATGCCTAGAATATGATGGCACTCTTAATTTGGAATGCCATGCCTAGAATATGATGGCACTCTTAAACCATGCCTAGAATATGACGGCACTCTTAATTTCTACAGGCATTGTGATCTGAGCTATTGAAAAGAGAGGGCTTTATTAATTTATCTGTTGGCGATTTGGAGTTGGTGGTGGACGGGTGTTCTGGTGTGGTGTGCTCCTTTTCTTTCTCTCTATCAAACATCTATTGTCCTTATCTCTCCTCCCTCTTTTCTTTGTATGATGCTCTCTGGCGACACGATACGGTCATACAAGTGCCGAAGATTAGAGGTGTTTAAAGATGGTAAAGTAAAGTTCCCGCATCCGATGCGCACATTGGGGGTTGCCTTGTTAGTGAAACAACTTCCTGGGCCTTCGGCAAACACAAAACAAGAATGAGGAGATTATAAAAAGTTTTAATAAGCATTTTACCGCACTTGCAACACAGGTCGTATAAGTGCCTAAAGAAGGATGAGAGACGAGGACGGTAGTCGTTTGATAGTAAAGAAGAAGCAAACCACACCGGAGCACCGTAAACGGATAAGTTCTCTTTCGGTTTTGATGCATCGCACTGGGCACAACCGAATATTTTCTTTCTGTTTGGGCTTTTGTTTTGTTTTGGTAAGAGTTTTACAGCTCTTGCAACTCAATTAGGTAATAGAAATGCCGAAGATTAGAGGTGTTACAAGAGAATAACAAACACAAACAAGGAGGAGAGATGAGGGAAATAGATGTTTGAAAGGAAATAAGGAGCAAACCACACCAGAGCGCCTGCCAACCACCCACCTGTGAACGGGTTTATCGTTGAGCCACTGATTGATAGTGACATAAACATGCATAATGTGTCATTTGTTCATGACTGTTCACTTTGCAACCGAATAAGTTCTTGTCTGGGTTTTGATGGATTGCACTGGGCACAACTGGATACGTTCTGTCTGGGTTTGATGGATTGCACTGGGCACAACTGGATACGTTCTGTCTGGGTTTTGATGGATTGCACTGGGCACAACCGAATAAGTTCTTGTCTGGGTTTTGATGGATTGCACTGGGCACAACCGAATAAGTTCTTGTCTGGGTTTTGATGGATTGCACTGGGCACAACTGGATACGTTCTGTCTGGGTTTGATGGATTGCACTGGGCACAACTGGATACGTTCTGTCTGGGTTTGATGGGTTGCACTGGGCACAACTGGATACGTTCTGTCTGGGTTTGATGGGTTGCACTGGGCACAACTGGATACGTTCTGTCTGGGTTTGATGGATTGCACTGGGCACAACCGAATAAGTTCTTTTCTGGGTTTTGATGGATTGCACTGGGCACAACCGAATAAGTTCTTGTCTGGGTTTTGATGGATTGCACTGGGCACAACTGGATACGTTCTGTCTGGGTTTTGATGGATTGCACTGGGCACAACTGGATACGTTCTGTCTGGGTTTGATGGGTTGCATTGGGCTCAAGCGGATACGTTCTATATGTGGGTGGTTGGCGGTTGCTCTGGTGTGGTTTGCTTTTTCTTTCCTATCAAACATCTATCGTCCTTTTATGTCCCCTCCTTCTTTGTTATGTTTGTTACTCTCTTGTAACACCTCTAATCTTCTGGCGCTCATATGACCTTATGCAGTTTCGAGCGCCGTAAAACTTCTACTAAGATTTTTTTTAAAAATGATGTCTGGGTTTGATGGGTCGCACTGGGCTTGTTATCGTAACTGACGTCATCTATGTATCGATTACCTCTTGAACTGGGAGGCAGAGGGTACGAATCGTTCATGGCCAGAAATAATATGTTTATTGAGTACCTTTGTTTTGGGGCAGGATTAAAGTTTGCCTCCCGCCCCCACCCCACCCCCTTTTTAAACCTCGCAATCAAGCTTTTTTTTTTTAAAACATCATAATCAAACTTAAAAAAAACCTCACAATAAATTTGTAAAAAAAATCTCACAAACAAACTCAAAAAAAAAATCTCTCAATCAAACTTTACAAAAAAATTAAAGTTATGCCTCACCATTAAACTTTAAATCTCACATATCTAACATTTTTATACCTCACTATCGAAAGATTTTGTAACTTCGTGATCAAAACATTTCTGTTCTTTAGTATTTACCTCAGATTTAAACGGTTTTTTTTGTTGTAATCTAACAATCAAGCGTTATATTATCTATTTTTTTAAACTTCATACTCAAACTTTTTTTTTCTTCTCAATTTTGCTCATTTTTTGAAACACTTCCCCTTACGTTTTTCTCACAATCAAAGTTGTTGCCGGGTTTTTTTTTGCTGCACACACACACACACACACACAT